TCGCCGAACTCCCGTTGCAGCCTCTCGCGCGGCTTCAACTGGCACTTGTCGCCCGTTTCGAGGGCGAACGTCTCCAGGGTATGCTTATAGCCGTACCAGGAGAAGTAGTCGACCACCAGATAGTTGAGCAGCTGCACCAAGCCCCGCTGCCTCATATCCCCGCCACAGAGTGGGTCTTCCTTCTTCAAATCCGTCTCTCCGCGCATCATGTTCAGCACCTTCACGTGCAGCCCACTGCGCATCTCGTCCAGAATGCCATTTCGTTCGAAATGCAGCTTAATACTGTCCTCAATTAGCTTCGAGTACGAGCTATTTTCCATGACGAACTTCGAAATTACAACAACACTTCAATGGAAATTTGTATATCGATAACGAATTAAATTTATTTCTATTTTACGAACTAACTGTTTCAAGTCGAATCGGTAATTGAATGTGTTTCTGAAGCCAGTCGAAGTGTATCTGATTCTACAATGCTATGAAGTTTGATAGAATGCTTACTCCGTTCATCAGCATTTACTCTTTTTTATTTACCTACTCTTTTTTTTTTCTTGTCTAAAAAGTTATTTTTTGTCATGCCCAGGGCTAACGGCATCAGCTCGTTAATCATGCAGATAACCTTGAGGTGGAGGCTGCATACATTAGCCATTAGGTGAACTTTTCTACGTCGTTGCCAAGTTTTCGGATCTGTCTCAAGAGCTGAAGTCAGAGTGCAGTGAACGACGTCTTGAAGGGCTTCAGTGACCCCGACGACTGCTGAGCAGCAGCTGCTCAGACAAACGCATTCAGAAGGGCTTTAAACTGAAATTATGTATTATCTAAATTTGGCATTTAATAAAAACAAAACGGCTTTTGATTCAAGCAGGTAATTTTCACATTTTATTTCGAAATTTGTCTTTTTTAAATTTCATAAAATCAAGTCAATTAATTTTTCTTGTACCACATAAAACGAGCATTTCGTATTTGCCAAAATGATTGTTTTGATTAGTTATCATCATAACATTCACTGGGTAGTGAAGTGCTTGTGCTTCGGTCTGGGAAACAGTCACAAGATGCGGCGTCAGTTCGTGGCAAACGATGCTCCAGGAATGGGTTTAAGCCAAAAAAAAATATAACACAACTTGGTCATGTTCGACAGTCGCTGATTAGCGTCTCTAATGGGCTCTGGACCGCTCTTTATTGGACTCGACCATTCTTTGCCGTATATTTACTTTGCTAAGTGGGGTCCTAGTAGTGTCAACAATTGCGCAAGTTTCATGCAAGGTGAGCGGGCTCTTTGGCAGCCCCTTGGCCGGATACTCTTGCATGGCCCGATATGACTTTTGTAGGTTTTCCCATCTGCTCTGGCCCTCCTTACTCAAGCTATCTCGCATCCATAAATCCATTCTCATTGGCAGCACCTTAGAATTGGTTTGGGTGCTGCCAGGACTAGATTCATGTAAGCTGTCCACCTTCTGTGGCGCCTCCTTACCGGGCTTCTCTTGCGGACTAGGACTGGGCCCATTTGAGCTATCCACTTTCTTCAGGGTATCGTGAGCTGATGTTACTCTTATCCTGCTTTCATTCATGCTCCTCAGCTGGCTAAGACTTCTGAGCTTGGGAAARCTTTTGAGCTCTTTACTAAACTTTCGCAGGTTTCTCGCACTGTTTGACAATTTCCTTGACTGATTTCCTTTGACCGCTGTGGGCYCATTATTGGCTTCAGTTCGATTTTCTTTGGCTAKAGTATTGTTTTTCTTCAATTTCTTCCCCTTAGGACTGCCTGATTTTCCCTCATCTGGCATATCTGTAACCCCCACGCCGCCCTGAGCATCTTTTTTCACCTTTTTGTCAGGCTTTTCCTTAGATGAAATATCTTTTATTGTACGAAAACGTCCTTGTAATTTTTTTAACTTCTTTGGGATTTGGTCTCCCCTTATTGGAATATGCTCCCATTTACTCTTCTCTAGCAGCGCGTCGTCAGCTTTATTAGATTCCTTCAATACCATTTGCAACAGGATGGGCAGGTGGGAGTGTCTGAATTGTCCCTTCAGCTCCTGTTGCAGTTTATCACGCGGCTTCGGCCGCGATTTCTCGCCCGTCTCTAGAGCAAAGGTTTTCATTGTGTTCGTAAAGCCATGCCAATTAAAATAGTCGACAATCAAATAATTGAGCAGCTGCAGCATGCCACGCTGCTCCAAATTCGCTTTGCCACATGAAGGCTCTTCCTTCTCGAGCATGGTCAACTCTTGGATCATCTTCATCGCCTCAACATGTAATCCGCTACGCATTTTATGCAGCTTTTCGTTCCGGCCAACATGTAATCGGAGACTTTCCGCAATGAGACCCGAATATGAGTTATTTTCCATTTCATTTAAAATAGAATTTTTTTTTAATAACTGTAAATTTTATTTCCTTTGAGTTGATACGATCTGAATCAGTTTTAGAAAGTGTGCGAGCTAAAGGT